ACAGGAAGATAGCGTAGTCAGTCTCAAAGATGTTAAGGTGGTGCTTAAAGCGCCACATGAGATTTTAACAGATTAAACCCAAAATAAGATATTTGTAGATACACTATCTTTAGAAAAGATGGAAAAATCTGGAGAAGCATGGTATGTAGAGGTATGTAGAGACCTAAGACTTGAAGAGAAGTGAGATTGCGTGCCCACTTTTGTGATTTAAAACATCGAATTTCTCAATACCTGTTGATGTTGTATGATTTATACAACACCTGTTGTTGACTTTTCAAAGAAGATGAATAATGTAAATAAGGATCTTGTAATACAGGAGCCTATAGAATCAATTGTCTCTTGGCAATAAAGAGCAACAACAGCCCCATATGAAAGTACCAGTAGATGAGGCCCCAGAAGGTCTCAAAAAATTAGTAAACCAGTTTTTCAATGACTAAGAAGTCTATGTTAGTGAAGAAATTCAAATGGAGGGTGATCCCACCTCATTTGAAGAAGTCATGAAAAATGTTTACTTGTTTAAATGGCAAGAAGCTATAAAGTTGAAATGAATTCGATGAGTACCAACGATGTTTGGGACTTAAAAGTAATTCCTAATGGAACCAAAACAATAGGTTGTTAATGGGTCTACAAGATAAATTGTGACTTCAAAGGGAATGTAGAAAGATATAAAGCATGACTTGTAGCAATATGCTTTACGCAAAGAGAATGAAAAGATTACAATGATAGTTTTCTCTCTAGTATCATGCAAGGACTCTTTTAGAATCATAATGGTGTTCATGACACATTACGATTTAGAAATACATCAGATGGATGTAAAGACGGCATTCCTAAACGGGAATTTATATGAAAACGTTTATATGGCATAACCCAAAAGATTTTTGTCATGGAAGAAAAGAACATATGGGATGCCGCCTATAGAAATTCATTTATGGGTTAAAAGTAAGTCTCTAGACAGTATCATTTGAAATTGATGAAAAAATAAGAAAGTTTGGGTTTAAAGAAAAATGAGAAGGACAATAGCGTTTATGTGAAGTTCAAGAATGGAAAATTCATTTTTCACATCTTGTGAATAGACGACATTCTACTCACTAGTAGTAATGTTAATCTGTTATTGGAGAAGAAGTTTTGTTCTTAAGTTTCAATGTGAATGATCTTGGTAAAGCGTCATTGGTTATAGGAATCGAAATTCACCGAGATAAAAGAAAATAGGATATTAGGACTATCGCAAAGGCATACTTAGAAAAGATTCTAAAAAAATAAAGTATGCATGCGAGTAAACCTACGCCTGCTCCTATAGTCAAGGGTAATAGTTATGGAAACTTTAAGTGTTCCAAGAACCGATATGAGATCGATTAAATGAACATGGTTCCATATGCTTCAGCTGTTGAAAGCTTGATGAGTGTACAAGTACAAGTAAGAACTTATCCTAACGTAGTTTATGTATCTGGAATATTTTGGCAGAAGTCCAGTCCAGATATAGATCACTGGAATGGAGTTAAAAATATCTTGCAATTTTGTAAAGTATCATAGGCCTCATGCTGAGTAAGAAAGGACAAGTACTCTCAAATAGTTGTGGGTACAAATGTTAAGTTTTGGTGAGATGTGTAGTGAAATCCACAGCAGTTGCTAACACTCGCAGTTGGAGTATTATTGTGGAAAAACTCCAAAGAAACAGTTGTGGTGTCATCAGTGATGCATACTATAGTATAGCTTGACATGAGGCTTAAGGAACAGACAAAAGGAAGTTAAGCGAATTTGTACCCGGATTTAATAATGGTAGACAACAACAATAATCATTTAAAGTAAGGTAGACAACAACAATAATCATTTAAAGTAAGTTAACTCCTAAGACAACAAGTCAAGTGTGCTGCCAAACACATTGACACCAAGGTATATGTTGTAAAGGAGAAAATCCAGAATCATGTTGAAAGCATTGAGCACATAAATACCGAGTGAGTACTTACGGATCCGCTTACCAAAGGTTTACCACCCAGTGTGTTCAGAGAACACACAGTCGACGTAGGTTTATGGAAAAGCCTATGATTTCTGAATACTAAGGGCCTAGTTGAGTATCTATTTTAAAACAGAGAGGTGCGTTGTACCTGTTTAATCTAATGGCAACAGACCGTAACGATGAGGCACGCTCTATGCACTGATTTGTGATGGAATGGGAACAACATAAAAAAGTAAGTTAAGTTTAAGAAATAAGATGAGATCAAGGAGGAGAATGTTAGTTTGATCTCCACCAATTGGCCTGGGCCCTTGGATCCGCGCGTCGATCGGGGACGCCCAACCACTCCCTGGGTTGCAAGGCCCCCGTCGCACAGCACCATAAAAAAGAGAGGTGGGGGCTGGGCACAAGCTATGAGGTTTCTCTGAGCCGCCAGACGTCATACCTAGGTTCTTACTCTATCCGATCTAAAGAAAAGGATGCTGTCAGCGACGAAAAGCCGCCACCGACTTTACCAATTTTGATGCTCAAATCGCTGGGAGCAGCAAAATTGTACCTCATACTGATGAAGTGGAGCATAAAGACTGTTCCATCCTACTGGCTGCGGCCTCCCATTTTTTCCCTGGTGAAGATTGTAGTGGTGTGGTGAAACGCTCACGATTGGAGATTCTACCCAGTTGGCCTGCAGCTAAAGAAACCGAATGAAGCTGCGCGCACTGTGTTGCAAGCAGGAGGAACGGTGTCTCCCAGTTGGCCAGAATGCCAAATGCTACTAAACTGGTGGAGATTTTGGTGGATCAGGCATGTCGTTGCGTCTGGATGCATGCTGAACTCAGAACCATCTGGTGGAGTGGTTATTAGAGTACGTCTGGGTTGATTGGTTTTACCATCCGCATGCCCTCTGCCAAATATCTTGCTTTGCTTTTACTCTGATCTCGTTTTTGCATGCCAAATAATCTTTGGTAAATCTCCTTGCATTTTTTGTGTTGCTCAGCCAATGTAGATGTTGTGTGCAGTTTTTCCCCTCTGTTTATTTGTTGAGATCTCATACTGAGAACAATGATTTTGTGTAGTAATCAATGAGTTCGAAGAGTAGAGCAAGGAAAATTCAGTCTTTGGTTAAATGTGAAATTGGAGCTTCTTGGTCTAAGGTTATGCCAGCTTTCTTCATATCTAGATTGGACTTGGCATTATAGAGTCATGGATGGATTCCATTGAAGACTCGCGTTTCTTTGATGTTGCTACGACAGGAGTTCCACTAAAACCTGAAAATTTTCAATTTCATAATACAGGCAACAAGAATTTGATGAGAAAAGCATCACGATATTTACTGATTGCAACAAGCACCAGGTTTGCAGCTCACTGACTCATTTCCTGCTTACATTCATGGCCTTTTAGCATCTTCGTATTGCCAGGAAATGTAAAAATTGCATGTGGTGATCTACTATTTCTTAGACCTGATGGCTGTTTTTGTTGTTCTCATGTGGTCCTGATGCAGTGCTACTAAGACAGGATTCAGATAAAGCTATGAAAAGACAGCACTGCTGAGCATTCCAGGTAGATAATTTTCACATCCCTCCAAGCTAGAGCTACCTAGAGGACATACGATGATTATGTAGGCACTCATAGTTCTGTTGCTGTATCCATGCACACATGTTCTCTAGATGTATATTTTGGTAGGTCAGACATTCGATCGGACTCCGGATGCAGTACTCAGCTGGTGGAAACTAAATTTACAGATTGGAGTAGATGTTGGTAACTGTTGTTGTTGCTAAATGCTCATCACGTTTTCTTCGTGTCCTTGTGGACAGATTTCATTTGATGATATTTAATGCCTAGGCAGGGAGACCATTGGTTTACTAATTGAGCTTATCCCTGTAATCTACTTTAGCTTTGATACGGATCATGATTTCCTCGTGATATGATGCTTGTATGCATATGTTCCTTGGTTCTTCCTGACATGGACAGAAACCATGTGTCCTGTCTTTTATGGTTGTTTATTGCTTTTGTATCTGCTAAGCAAGCAAAGGCAGCCCGAGGGCGCCAGTGCCAGGCGTAAGCTCTTGATGAGTTTTAGCTACGACAACAGCTGATTACCAATTTATTCTATTGTCTTTCTGTGATAAATTCCAGCAGATGTCGTCTCAGTTCTATGCAGCATGGGAGCTGAGGAGCAAAATTTCTGTGAAGTGAAAGATGAAGAGGATGGGGACAAGTGGTCGACGTTGTCGGGGTTGTTGCTGCTTCCTTGCCCAAGAGCCGTTGGAATGAGGTGGCTTGGGAATTGGAGGTCTCAGTCTCAGGCAAATATACCACTAAGTCCCTTCACAGATACTTGACTTTTAAGGTTCAGATCAGATCTTTCTATGGATGGTCTACCACGACAGAATTCAGTGTGGTGTACTACTGAAAAGGAGGAATTGGTCTGCTTCTGTTATGCGTAAAACTTGTGGGCAAGGTGAGACAATTAATCAGATTATGTTCCAATGCCCCAGTTGCTTCCTTTCTTTGGACTTACTTTCGTTCTATGCTGGGGTGGTCTCTATCCCCCACTAATTATGGAGAGGTTATTTGTTGAGGTGTTGGACCATCTGAAGGGAAAGTTGAGGAGCATATCATTTTAAGACTAGGAACAATGTGTTCTTCATATCAACAACAAAATTATGGCATCTCCTATGGATTATGCTGGTACTTCACAAGACTATCATGCAGCTCTATGGATTTTCCGTTGAGCTCTCAGCGTCCGTCTCTATTTGATCGGATACTCCAAGCCCTCCCTCTCCGCATCCACAACCACAGATTTTTCAACGTTGTACCCGGGCGCAAACCAATGGCAGCGCAGCCAGGACGGCACCCCATCCACAGGCGCGGACACGTCAGCGCGGCCATGCCACGTCACCAGAAAAGAGAGCTCGACAGGGCCATGGCCCAAGCCCAACTGGCCCACACTATCCTCTCCTCTCTATCCTTTTCCTCTCCACTGCTCTCCGTCTCCCCTCCCCCACACTGCCACTGCCAACCTCCCCTCCCCTTCGCTTCGCTCTTCGCCATGGCCATGGCGACCTCCACCTTCTCCCCGCGCCCCGCCACCCTCAACAAGCCCCTGCGGGCGGGCATCCAGCTCCACCTCATCCCCTTCCCGCACCTCCGCGCCGGCCGCCTCGTCTGCGCCACCGCCGCCGGGGAGGCGCCGCCCGTCGAGGTCGGCAGCGGGACGAGGCGGAGCCGGCCCCCGCCGCGGCCTCCAACGGGGCCGCCGTCAAGGCCGAGGCGCCCGCCGCGAAAACCGAGCCCCCGCCGGTCCCGGCCTTCCGCGACGCCAGGTGGGTCAACGGCACCTGGGACCTCACCAAGTTCGACAAGGGCGGCGGCGTCGACTGGGACGCCGTCATCGACGCCGGTGAGGGCTCTGACTCCTCCTTTCTAGTCTTAGTCTCTCTCTGCTGTCGTGCTAGATTGCTAGTGTGGGCGAGCGAAAAGGTTGCTAAGCAAGCACCGAAGTCATGGAGTGTGTGCGAAGATATGGTACAACTTGATGTGGATTGTGGAACCCTGGATTGGATTAACATGCTGGAGCGGGAATTGCTGCCTGTCTGCCATTGCGATTCTAACCTGTAGGTTGTGGCGAGTTCGTTCTGTGCTTCATGAGTAATCATCACAAGTGTGCTCTAGTGTCTTTAATTTGCTGAATGTTTAGCATCAGGCAAGGAAAGTTGATGTTTGAGCTATGGTGTCCAGCGGTATGGCTTTGCCGTCCCTGTGAACGTAATGTGCAAATCTTACATCCTTTCGCAACCCGGTGTGCTCAGACAAATGGCATGCTTGCTGATTGAACAAGGCATGCTTGCTGATTGAACAAGGCGTGGCTGCAGTCTCTGTCTGAACTTCTGTTTTTTCTTGTGGTTGTAGAGTCGAAAGATTTGAGAGTTGGATCTGGATTTTCCTTATAGTTGAGAATAGCGACTTAGCAGCAGCTGATGGTTGAAGACGATGTTAGTTGGTTAGGACTGGGGAAGCGAGGGGAGGAAGATGCATCAGTCCCACTGAGTCTCAGCTGGTCTTGAATTCATTTACCACACATTTTCTGAACTAGGGAGGCGTGCTTTTCATAAGTTGTGTCCCTGCGATTCTGCTGTAGCTCACGTGAACTGACAAGTAAAAGAATCATGCATACGCAGGACATGCTTGTGTAAACTCAGACATTTGTTGGCTTGCTACATACAATGAGTGGGGCAAGCAAGCATGGCTAGCTTACGATTTTTACCGCATCTTCCCGACATTGTAGCTCCTAGGGAATGCCACAGCTAACTGATGCCAGTCATCTTTGTTTGATTCCAGAGGCCAGGAGGAGGAAATGGCTTGAAGATTATCCAGAGGCGACTAGCACAGATGAGGCCGTCGTCTTCGACACTTCAATTATTCCATGGTGGGCATGGATGAAGCGATTCCACCTTCCTGAAGCCGAGAAGCTAAATGGTTATCACCAAGCCCTTTTCTTTTGTCATTTATTAAACTGCTGAATATGATAAATTGCTTTGAAAAAACAGTTGAATATGATGTGTTCTATTTCAAATCAAACCGCGGGTGCAAATGACATTTTGTGTCCAGGGATTGTGCATTCAGAACCGATTCTTCTCGTCCAATGCAGGTCGCGCTGCCATGGTTGGCTTCTTCATGGCATACTTTGTGGATAGCTTGACGGGCGTGGGCCTTGTCGACCAAATGGGCAACTTCTTCTGCAAAACGCTGCTATTTGTTGCCGTCTCTGGTGTACTGCTAATCAGGAAGAATGAGGACATTGAATCACTGAAGAAGCTTATCGACGAGACTACGTTCTATGACAAGCAATGGCAGGCAACCTGGCAAGAAGATTCCACCGGGGGGCCAAAGAATTAGTTCAGGTTCAGCGTTGGGATACAAATGCAGAATGGTTCTTGTGATGTGTTTTGTCTCTTTCGTCGGCCTTTTTTGTTTCCCCGTCTAGTGAGGCTTGGAGGAACATTTTGACAAACGTAATAATCTACGTCATCTTGTAAAATAGTATGGACTCACTTTCTGTGCTAGAGATAATTACGTGCAGTTTTAATGGTTTATATGGTTTGCCATCTCAGAGCATTTCTCATCCAAGCAGTAAGGGCAACTATGCCATGATATTTTCATCAGTGGCATGTTCTCATTTTTTGACAACAAATCATAACAGAAGATCACTGTCACCAGGTTTGCAAATTTCTACTCGCCACAAGAACTATGTTCAAAAGCAATAGTGTTTGCCTTAAACTCGTTTCCTTAACAAAAATTGTCACAGCCTAATCTATACTGCTTATCGCCTTCGGTTAAATCACCACCCCTTCGGATATGCATGGGTAAACTGGTGCATGGTCCGTCCTGGGCAATTCACAGATATTCTGATATCAGACATGGAATTCATTTACATATCGATCAAAGAAATGTCATGTACACATGTCGAGGTGCTCATCAAAGATTAGTCTGAAACAAAGCAAAGATTAATCTGAAACAAACCTGTGAGACAGAGAGAGAAGCATGTCTGTTGGTGGTTAACTTTTCTGACTACTTGCTTTGATCTGGCATGGAATTCAAATCAGGCATGACACGACTGAATTCTGACCTGCAGCCAGAGCAAACAAATTAAATTCAATGTCCAGATTTATGGTACCAGAGGAAAACAATAACTGAATAGCAGTATCTTTAGCCAAGATAAATCAATAACTTAGCAAGTATCTTTATACAATCATTTTGCAAGCAGCAAGATAAATCACTAGTATAAAGACAAATGCTAACATCTACCAAAAACTAAATTAGATGTACCAACTGCTTGGCAAGACATACTTTTGTGGTACTGTAAAAAAAAGACATACTTTTGTGGTAGGCTTATATAAACTGCAAAGCCAACTAAACCTTGAGATGATTTCAATTTTGCATAAGGTTTGTTGAAATTAGAGCGAAAAATGGAAGTGCATGTCAAAGTAAAACTATTCAGGAAGGAACGCAAAATTAAGAGTAACTGATTGCTTCTTGCATAACCAAATTTGATGCTGGCTAAAAAGAAATTACAGGAACAAAGAATTGAATGGAGAGAAGGTAATAAGGTGGTTGTAGCAAAGAAACCAATAATTTCTAATTCATAAAACTGTGGACTTGCGTCTAGAAACAAGAACAGAACATAAATTTGTTATCATCAAAAGGTACCCAAAAAAGGGTCTCATCAGAGGAACACAATTGAAAATAAAACTTACCCGCAGGTTGAACACTTCTTCTGATTCTTGCAGAATATTGACAAACAAACTGAACAAACATATCCCATGTCGATAGTCTTCTTATGGCAGAAACACCTGCAAAATCAGTAAAAAAATATTGAGCGCATTGAGGTGTCACCAATATTAGATGAATGCAATCTTTTTTTGGAAAGAACTCCGCTTATGTTGTCTCAACATAGCAGGTCCCAAGCCCTGGTAAAGGAGGAGGTTTGTGATAGGCGTGGCGAGCCAACGTTAAATTTAGCCATTCTAATGGAGATGAAACCCAAAAGCATGCCTGAACCTTGATTGCTTCTGCTGGGTTTCAACTCTAGCCTACCCCAACTTGTTTGGGACTTAAAAGCTTTGTTGTTGCTTTGTTGTTGAATCTTTTTTGGAAAGAAATAAAACGGAACCAGATTTGCTAATGTGGACCAGCTTTTGCCCTGATTGTAAATTTTCACAAAAGGAGGATAGGTCTAGTACTGATGCTTAATAAAGGAAATTTAGAAGCACATACGAAGCACGAAAGTCCACTCCAAGAGTTTTTGGAAGGCGCAGAAATGCTCTAGAGTGTAAATCAGTTGCAAATACAGCCTGCGTTATTGTTGAAATGTGTCAATGAGCTTAAGCAACTACAAGAGAAATAAACCCACACAAAGTTATTTACACAAACAAAGGAAGAGGATATCAAATAATATGATATACAAATAACAAATTCTCTAGTAGACAGGTATTGCCAGACTAAAGTGAAGACATCTGCACAAGTAGATCCCAGTTCTGTCTATCAGACATGGCTAATCTCTTACTTAGATATATTATAAGTAAAATCCAAAATTTTGTGAGGAAGGTATCATTAGATAAATGTTCGCAACATCTAATGTGAAACAACAAAAAACAAACAAAGATCTCAACACAAAGCATACAGAAGTGACCAATAAACTTTTACAGCTCTTAATGCCAATTCAGTAATTCACAGTTAAGGAAAGCACAAAAGACTTCCCTAATTTACTAACTATAATAGCAAACCAACTACATGAGGAAAAATGAATGCAAAGAATTTTTCAACTGGTATGATAACAAAATGGTAGTAATGTCATCACCCTTTTAGAGGGTAGTAGATTCAGCATAGTGTGCTCGATGTTCCTAGGCTAATCCGTTTTCGCTATTATGTGAAACTATAGAGCACAATACAACCATAAAAGGATTATTCTGTCAAAAGGATCATAACGACAAGTATATAAATACATTCTCAAGAGGCCCCCAAAGGAAAATAGGACTATATGAGAAGATATATTAATATCAGCAGCGGGAGGCTGGATAACTTACGGCAAGGTATTGAAACAGACCATTTAGTTCTTGGGGCTTCAAATAAACTCCTCCTGTTATGTACGAAGCCTATGTGATGAAACACCAGTAACTAGTCAGCAAGAGGATGTTGTGACAGTATAACATGTGGATGGATTTGATCAGTAGAATTTAAGAGCGCACTAAACAGCATTACCTGCTGCAAGAAAGCAGAATCTTGGGTTCCCACAATACAAGAATCAATTGGTACCTAAGAGAATTGTAAAATGTTACGGTCATTATGCCACCCTAGTAATTAAAAGCTTTGGAACAATTATGGATGCATATCTATATAGGCACATTTCAATGTCTTGCTACTTCTCAATCCACTACATGTGCCACACTTGGATAGTAAGTAATAAGTAACAACATAGCGACTGGCCGGTGAAATTGAAGGGTCAATAAATCTCAATGGGACTAAAATGGATTAAGCAACTGATGCAATACCATGGAACGTTGAGCAGAAAATATTGAATTCATCACTGCCACATATCTGCAAGTTCATTTGATCAAGTGAAAACTAGGTCCTGAAAAAATTTAGAAATTGCATTGATGAAGGTGTACGCATACTGTTCAGGTCTATCTGGAGAGCCCTGCAGGCACAAAATCTGTATCTCATGTTAGTATGCCGTGGCATTATAATAAGAATACTGACCACAACAATTTATGGGCGAATCAAAGCATTATTTGTTGATCACAAATGATGAAAACCAAACGTTACTCAGAATCCTACATGACAGCATGTAGCCACTCACCCGAGGTTGCGGATGCCGAGTCCCAGACCGGAAAATCCTCTGTATATCTAAATACCCTCCATGTTAAGCAACAAAAGCACAAAATAAGATAGGGCAAATGCACAAGAAGCAAGGAATTCAAACGATTGGATACAGCACAAAGCGAGGGACAGCGCCCCAGAGAGCAGCGACGCGGCATTGGCAGAAGCAACGGAACCGTTGCCTGCAGTGGCACGGGCGTCTTGTGCAATGAACTCCTCAGCCTTGCGGCTTGCCCTGTCGAAGGTGTCCGAGACGCCCACGCCGCCGGAGGGGCTAACATCGCTGGAATCCAGGATGTAGGCACATGAGCTGACTCCCGCAGCAATGACGACCACACGGTTGAGGTGGTTCAGCAGCAGAATCGAGTTGACGAAGTGAATCAGCTGCACAGACACGGATATTACATACATCGAGTCCAAGGGGGAAAGCCAAAGCCCAATCAACGGATCAGGGCACAGCTAGCAACGAGTCATCTAATCCACAAAATTATCATTGAATATCGAGCAAGGTAGCAGGCAAAGGGAGGGTTAGGGTTGCATACGTGCGCGAAGAAGTCGGCAAAGGGGAGCGCGGCGGCGGCCCAGAAGAAGGGGTTCGTGTCGACGACCACCACGACGAGGCTGACGTCATCTGCACGCGCCGGCGGGTTGCGCCAGATAGGATGAGCTCGTGTGTGTGTTAGAACCATGGGTCGTCGTGGAGTAAGGGGGATGTGAGAGTGGCGCGTGGCTCACCGGAGTAGAGCTTGGAGTGAGCGGAGGTCATGGCCGGAGAGAGGGTCGTTGGTGCTCGCGGGCCGGCGGCGCGGGTCGCGCGCCCAGCCAATCCAATGCTCCGAGGCGCCGGCGGGGGTGCTGGGGCGGCGGCGCTGGCGGTGGCAGTTGCCGCGGTTGAGGAGCGCCTCGAATGCTCGTGCTCGAGAAGCTGTGGCCTGTGGGTGAGGCCTGGTCTCCTGGACTTTACGTGGGCCTGGTCCAATCTTGTGTACTTGGGCTTAACTGTTTTGGGCCTGAACTAGGCCCGTGCTTTCTTAAAATTTTGTAACAGCTGGTTGTCTTTTGGTGCCTGCTTGAATGACATTTTTATTTTTTTATTATTACCGAACTTGTGTTTCAAATTTGGTTCTGTTCATTTTAAAAATGAAATCTGTATACCTTCCATTTTTTTCATTCTATAAAGCATTAGCTCTGCATGCAGGTGATGCACATTGGATTTTGACCAACGGTATCAACTCTCAACCCCCGAAAAATCAGAGAACTTTTACAGCAAACGGTTTCAATTCAACGGAGGATTCATTCAGATTTCAAACAGATTGTGGGCGTTGCCTTCAGATTTCAGGCGTGGCAGAATGCAGATCGATATCCATGGCCATTCCAGCTTTGACTACAACTAAATCACTCGAAGGAGTCCGACGACATCATCTGCCCCTCGTCGCTCCCGCCGCGGCGCGCCGACATGGGCGACTTGAGGAAGCTGGGCGTGCCGGGCCTGGACGACGCCGGCGCCACCTTCCTGGCGCTGCCACCTCCGCCGCCGCCGGCGTTTCCCCCCATGGACAGCGTCCTGGTGACGTTCTTGATGTTCTTGGGCGGCGGTCGGGCCACCGGCGACGACACGTCCCGGTCCGGCAGCGCCACGCCGGCCGCGGCCGCGCCCTGCACCTGCTGCAGCAGCCGCCGCTGGTCCCGCTGCCGCTTCCGCTCCTGCTCCTTCTCCTTCCTCGTGTTGCCGTAGTCCTCCAGCATGTCCAGCAGCACCTCCTGCATGCGCGCATCAACGTTGTTAATTAATTGCATTGAGGTGCAGTGCAGTGCAGTGCGGCCGTCGCCATGGCCCGTAGGTGATGGAGGTTTTTGCAAGGCAGGCGTACACCGTCGTACTCGAACTTGGCGCCTCTCTCCTTCTCCCACGCAACCACCTTCGCCATCAGAGCTTCCGCCATTGCTGCACCTCACACGCCCATTCCTTATCAGAAGGATTATTATGTATGTTCAGATTCAGAAACGCCATGGCTGAAGCAGAACAAAGGCTATGTTACCCGGCATTTTGCTGACCAAGGAGCGGGCTTTCTCGGCGCGTTTGAGAACGAGATGCGTCCCTTTGCCGACGTTGTATCTGTTCTCGTTCTGCAAGAACGAAAGCAAGGAAAAGCTCAGTGAGTCCTGGAGATGGAGATGATCAGACGGGGAATTGTTCAGAGAGTCTGACGACGACCGAGACGCACTCTGCTGTACTCCTCGAGCCAGGACTCCTCCTCCAGCGCGGCCTGCCACCTGTCCATCTTCTCCAGCACGTCCTTCCGGCTGAACTCCAGGTCCTTGGCCTCCGAGATCTGCACCTCCAGCCGCTCCAGGATCACAGCCCGTTCGGCGTCTGCAGTAGTCGATCGCAGTCAGTCGTATTATACACGCATGCATTTCTCAAGCAAGAACAAAAGTTCAGGCGTGTTGACAATTGACATATACCGCTGTCGATGGCGTCCAGCACCATGACGGCAGCGTCGTCGTCCTCCGGGAGGCGCGCGCGGCGGCGGATCTCCATGAGCTCCTCGTGCTTCTTCACGACCAGGTCTTTCATCCGGCACTCCTTGAGGGTCTCCAGCCTCACCACCTCCGCCTCCACGTTGCTTATGAAGGCCATGGAGAGGGCGCCGGGCTCCGTGATCTCGTCCTCCGACGCGGCGATGTTGCAGGCCACGCCCTGGAACCGCCGCTGCTCCTCCGCCGGCGTGTCCATCAGGTTCCACAGCTCCAGCATGCTGCCCAGCAGGTCTTGCAGCTGCCATGCATGCCATTGCATTGCCAAAGGAAACAGGTTGTTTCATTCAGTTGGAGAAGGCTCACGAATCTCCATTCAACGGCGGCGAGGGCTACCGTACCTTCTCCATCCGACTCCGTTTGATCTCTCTCAGCCTCTCGATGCCCGCAGCCAGCCCCGCGATGGCGCCGTCGCTGATGTCGCCGGCCTGCACCTGCACGCCGCCGCCATTGACGACATTGTTTGTCTCTCTGGGATCCATGCCGAGAACCAAGGATGACGAGTGCAGCAGAGCCAGGAGCTCCGCCACCTTCTTGGTGCGACTTTCCTGCGTGTACATGTGTCAAGATCTCGATCCAAAGCAAGAACAAACGCTAAGCATGCATGCAATGCACCCGTCAGGAGTCGATCAGGACCGATCAGTTTCTTTAATTAGGGTGATCTGACCTTTTCCTGCTGCAGGTGGTGCAGGTAGGCTCTGAGCTCGTCGAGCTTGGTCGTCGTCAGGTCGGAGCCGTCGACGAGGGCGGCGGCATGAGCCTTCGGCTGGCCCTGGCCGCCGCCTAGCTGAAGGTTCATCTCCTCCTGGATCCTGTTGACCCGCTGGGTGACATCCGCGAACTGGCGCCGCCTCTCCTCCCTCCGCCGCCGCATCTCCGCCAGCTCCGGCGCGATAAAGCCCAGCTCCTCCTTCAGGCTCCCTGTGCCCTGGTCCCAATCCTCCGTCACGACCGACATCACCATTGCCCATCGGCCGGACTGTGCGCGCGTACCTGGAGCGAGGAGCAGGCCGTGTGCACGGTGGAGGGCGGCTCGCCGATGGTGGCGCAGATGGCCGCGACCTCGGCGACGGAGTCGGCGATCTCCCGCTTGAGCTGCGCTCGGTGCTGCCGGACCTGATCCACCTTGGTGCGGTACACGTTGAGGCAATCCTCCTCCAGCACCTGCAGCGTCCCCCGCCGGTCCTCCTCCGCTTCCCCGATCTCGTCCCACATGTCCTGCATGTGTTCGTGCGTGCATCCATGAGAGGGCTGGAGGAGGTCGAACGAACGGAGAGAAGACGGACGGACGGACCCCTAGCTCATGCAGCAGCTCCTCGCGCCGGGGCTCCATCTGGAAGGGGAACAGGATGGCCCTCAGCTTCAGGGAGAGCATTGGGCTCCGTCGTCGCGCGCTCCTCGCCCCATGCTAGCTTCAATTTCTCCCCTTCCTTCTAGCTCCCTCCTCTCCTCCTCCGGCTCCGATCTGATCGACCAGCTCGAGGACAACGCGCGCGGCAATGGCGGCAGATCTGGCCGACGGAGTAATTAACGCTACCTGAACAACAACGACAACTGCAACTAATTAACGACGCCACGGCCGACGAGGTTGACGGCGTGGAAGGTGGATCATGGCCGGCCGGCGCAGCCGATGACGACTGCAATTATTGCACGGGATTATTCCGCCCGTGGATCGGACAGAAGAATGCGAGCGGAAAGGGGGGAAATTGAGGGGGAAGTATCGCTAAATAAAAGATTGTTCATGCATGTATGCAGAGAGAGAAAGCTGCGTGCGTGCGTGTGAGGCCACGAGCTATGGTGGCCCAAAATAGGATCACGACGAGTCGGGAAGAATGATGTGCATGAGCATGAATCTCAATACAAGTCTAATATCTAATAGGATATAGCATGCAGAGGTACATTCTCCTAAATCCTAATGGAAGGAAAATTGAGTTCATTCACCCTTGTTTTGTAAGCTTCGTTCTTGTGGCCTACGCAATGGACAATCCATGAGTATCTGTATATATGAAACCTGCGCCCAAACCGTGGCCAGGCAGCGTGCCACGTCACGGGATTTTTGCGGCCGCTCGATCGGGCGGGCGGACGGCCCAGATCGGGCGATCCGTGGTCATTTTACGAAAACCCCCTTATATTTTTCGCAAATCAACCCGCGCTCCAGAGGCCCTCTCAGAATATTTTTCAAAAAACACCTCAGATTATTTCGAAATCAACCCGCAGTCCAGATCGGATGGGCCTCTCCACACGCCTCCCTCCCCGCTCTGCGCCGCCGCCGCCGCTCGCTTCCACGAGCTCCCTGGCGCGTACCGTCGCCGAGCCATTTCTTCGCGACCCGAAAGAGCTCCAGCCTCCGCATCTCCTGGGCCTCTCCCCTACCGGGAGGAGAAGCAGCGCCCCCCTTGTTCTCCATCGCGATTCGCGCGTCCCCTCGACTCTTCCCGTGCGGCACCGCCTGCCAGATCTCTGCGCGCTCCTCCCCCACGACCTGGTGCCGGGTCGAGAGGGCCACGCGAGCAACACCCCGCGCTTGCAGCCGCAAGCGCAGCGGCGTCGGCAGAAAGTGAGCCACATCCGCTCCTGCTTCTCGACGTGAGGCAATCGACGAGCCTGCCTCAGAGTCACAGCAAGAGTAGTACGAAACCATCAAGTGCTCCACCAGTGCTCCGTTGTCACCTTCGCCGTAAACACGCGCACGGCGAGCTCTGCTCTTCTTCAAATTCGTTGCACATGGTAAACCAGAGCCAAATCCCTCCTATATCTAGCTCCTTCAATTCATTGCACATCCCTTTGAGTGCTTTTAATGTGGATCTATGGCAGGTTTGCTCCTTCCTTCTCTCTATGCGTTCCCTGCTACGGCTAGAAGATGAACAGTAGTACAAGCTAATAAGAACTTGAACATTTGTATTAATCCATGCAGAAACGTGTGAAAACCATAGGAAAATAATTATAGATCTAAATAATGTGAAATTAATTTTGTTAGATTCATAACTTTATACTCTGCCTGTGGAAAATATGTTTGCACTGTTACTCTAGCCAAAATTTCTTTACTTATTTATTATAATGTTCAGAACTTGATAAATGCAAAATAGATTCTCTAGCATTATTCAACTTTGGGATTCGTTATTTTTTCAGGTGCCTCAAAAATGGCATCTGTTCAAGCAACTGCTATGAGCCATGAGATGAAGATTTAATAGAAAGATGTACTAATCTTGAAGCAAGGTCAAAAGATCA